GCTGAGAGGAACGAAAATGGAAAGAACGTGTACGTCGCGTTCACTCGGTTACTTTATCTCGCGCATTTTCAACCGGAAAGAAAATTTTGCCAACCGAATCGCATCACTCGATCGCACCTCTTGTTTTCTGTCCTCTCGAGATTTCCTCGGTGGAACAGGCCGCGAGGGATTATCTATTCTATGTGCTGTCCCTGTTCGCGAAAACGCGGTTTTAATTCGATCACGGAAATTTAAGTGACGACGACGTCGGAAGCAAGTCCAGGAATCTATCGTTCGGATTTAATATTTCGACTTCATGAGTTTGCTATTCCCGTCCCCTTGTATGGATGACCGATCAAATATTCGTGTGATATATCACGATGTTCAAAATTTCCTACCGTTTATGACTAATAAATAATTTGACTGTCACGTGCTTGGTTAAATATGTATGGATTATTTTGAGGAACATACGCAGCGAGCAGTAGAAATTTAAATCATATATCATATCTGTTAAATTGAAATTGACTTTAGGTCCGAAGATTAGTGGTTGAATGTAATTTTTAATTTACAATTAATAATTTATAATAATTGATAATTATTAATATATATTTCTATGTATCTGTCGCGCAAATATTTAAGCAATGTTCGGTATTACAAGCGAATCGATACCTCAAATAAACAGCCGGATCTGTATATCGCGCATGTAACGAATAAGTGTTGTAAGTAATATGTAATGCTGTAATAACCGTGCTGTGTATTATTAAGTAGTTATTGTAATTCTACGCGATTGACGGATCACAGAGTTGCTATAACGAGATAAAGGTGTACAAAAAGATTAACTTGTAATCGGTAAAGACTCGAATTAGATGGAAATTTCATTGAAAATTGGGATGGGAGGAGATATTACGAATTCAAGAGTTTACAACTGACTCGTGATGGTGCTGCGATGGAGTTGACTAGCTACTAGATGTTAATATCGTACGCCCAAATAAAATTTAAACACGAGGCTACCTAGAGGAGGGTAATGCTGCGTGAATTTCTATTTCCTACTCCGGTCGCGGATATTGATTTAGCGAAAAAGCTGGATGCGCTTGGTTTCTTCATGCGCAAAAATACAGTAGAAATATATATATAATTATATGGCGAGTCAAAATTATGAAAACCTATAAAGCTAAAATTCAATAGATCTCGCAAGTTTAATGCGAGTCGCGGTTATTTGTTCCCGGCACGTTTTTCGCTGACTCAGTTTCTCGCCCCGATGCACGTATTTTCATGAAAATTTAATCTGTACAGTGACGCGTGAAATGGCAATTATTTCGTTTCCGATTAATTATTTAAAATCAGGTAATTTAAATTGTAGCAAATGATACGCAACTGAAATAAATGTACTGTACTCGCAGGTTGTACACTTTTATTATGTCACTAAATGCGAGAATGTCGGAACGAAAAATGGAAAAAATTTGGTCGAGAAATATTCGACGAGAAACTTCAAAGCAGCAAAGAGGAATGCCTTTATGCTCGTTAATCGTTCGCTCAGAATTTGGTGTCTCGAATCTACGCTCGAAATTGTTCTGAAATTTTGTCATGCAAGGTAAGAGAAGAATCACCATCAAATGCAACACATCATTGTCGTCACGTGGTTTCGCAGATCGACGTGACTACGACGACCCGAGAGCGTACATAAATTACAAATTATGCGGAAGAGATAAAGGTGACTGAGCACAGTGCTACATATGACCATATAGATGTACACGGTACATCGCGCGTGTACACATATTATATGAATATGTATGCCGGGATCCAGCCTCCCGACACCAGGAAGTTACATTTTCCCGCGATTTAACTCATCTGTCTTCATTACTCGCGCTTTTTTTTATCTACCCTCGTCAAACGGTCAGGTTTCGACTAAACGAATAAAAGTCAAGGTCCTCTTATCGTTTCGGTGTACGAAAAATCTACGATTAGTAACTTTACCTATGTCCATATTCCCTTCTGTGCGATGCAAATTCCACAGATAACGACAATTTTCGTGCAGAGCTTTATTTTGTTCAGCCGTGTGATGCACTCTGCAGTAAGACGTCTTGGAACGTAAACGGATAACTAATTATCACGGCAGGTAAATCTTCAGACACGATCTGCAAATCATTTAAAGCTAATTAAGATCTGTGCGGAAGGAGGAGTTTGTATTAAGGACCGAAATGCCTCGAGCTACGAGTAAGTTCATAATGCCAAACGAGCAAACCGGGGGTATAACGCTTTTGTTAAACTTTACACTTCTTAAGAAAAACCGATTAAAACATTAACGTTGATGCTTCTGTGCGTGACTTACTTCCTGTGAGTGTACGTGCAAAAGAGTATAAAAAGTGGCCGAGGTATTTTAAAATCTTGTTACCTGGTAAAACGAAGAAAAAATTGACGTTTTAATCATACCGAGAACCAGAAAATTTAATAGACGTAGACTTACCTTTATTAGAAGCGCCTTAAAATTTCGAGATATATTTTTACGGTGGTATAGATGAACAGGAAAAAGGTTAGTCGTAGGGAGAATGCTTCGCAAAGTTACGCGTACGTGCACGCAAGGAGGTTAACATTCGGAGGTTAGGTTATTGAAATGCCTGAAATATTTTAAAAGTACTATATTTATTATCCGTCTGATCATTTGAACAGACGTTCGTGTGTCATTTATATACAAATGTGTACACTCTGTACATTCTGTCCTAAACGATAAACGTTAATACGTGATCTGTACAGAAGCGAGAATTTTTCGATTACTATTAACCTCTAGGTTTCTGACAGCTTTACAACGTACCTGTTTATAACGCTTACAGTCAACACGCACGTAGTTCGCATTTTTCCTTTCATTTCGCTATTACACTTCCCATTTCCTCGCTCGATCGTTTAACATTTAATTGACTAATTTAATTATTTACCTGGTTGCTAAATGGTTGGTGTACGTTGGTCTTGAAATTTCAATTTTTCTTGAAAGCTTATATTTCTCTTTCAATTCGATCGACCGACGAATAGCACGCAACGCAAAGCAACGAATCGAGTGCCAATAAAACGTGCGAGCACGATTGCATTTTCTGAAAACATATCGAATATATTATCGTATAAAGGTAAATTCGCTATAACGTGATTCGGGAGGTTAGAAAATTATGTCAAACACCGTTTGGAAATTTCGCAAAGAAATTGACAAACAAACTTTTTCACTCGCTCATCGAGACGAATCTGTACGCTGACAGCGCGACGTTCGATGCTCTTAATCGATGTCGATACGCTTCGTATCGAACGTCGTGTTCGAGCTGAAACGCGTTATGGATTCATAAATGCATTCTTTCGATCCCCTTACCTTCGATAGAGTGCGCGTGAATATGCCTCATTCCCGACTATTAGTGAAAACACCGTGGAAAAATATTTTGCCTATTATAATATATCCGTACGTTTAGGTATTCGACAATCGAACCGCGAAATCGATACCGCGTGTAAAAAAGGATTAGGTTACGTTCGACTGGAATATCTTCGTTCGTTAGGCGAGTTGAATATCTTAACCAGGAATCTACTTACTCTTTGCCTTGACTTTTCGTAACAGCTTTGCACCAATCACGTCGCTGAATTTTGCCGAACAGCGTCCATACTACGCGATCGCTAAGTGATCCGGTTAAAACTGGATGTAGGCTGCGATGGCATTTGCGAACGCCCGGGTGTAGCTATCGCCATTTCGAAGTGTGTCTCGGTTTCGATATGTGTAATTTTGTGCGGCTCGATTTCTTTCGCGAGAAAAATATTGCGTTTACTCTACGGACACGGGTTTTAGGTCGCAAATAATAGTCCGTGGCGTGTCTTTTGGTTGCCGGTTTCAACGTGTAGTGCAAGTAAGGAGAATGCAGTGGAAACGATCTGAATTATGGTAAGTCTTTCGCTTTAGTTAATATCAAGATATCGCGTGCATACGAAACGTATACACGAATCGCGCATACAAGATGGCGGCAAACGAACGTTCTCGAAAAACGGACACGTCACCATGTTTGCTAACGTGTTTTCGATTCGGCGGGATATAATATACGCGTTGTTTACACCGAAAGGAACATATCGATATACGAACAGCGTAAGCCGTGTAAAGTTAACGAGAATTTGCAATATAACCTAATAATTGGTAAACAGCGTAACAGCGTCCTCTTACCAAATAACATTTGATTCAAGCGATAACGGGAAACAATTCTAAGCTCGTATCGCGGTGTTAACAATAATGGAGCTAGTACCGGTTTCTCGCTTACAAAAATCTTTGGTCCGTGATGCAATCGATTCGACGCACGGTAGAATACCCCTCGCGACTGAAAAACAAACACTAGAAAGGTATCGTAGCGCCGATCTCCAGATCCATCGATCTTTCGGTCATATCGATCGACCTGACGACGCAACGAAGAGCACTAAGAGACGATCGCGAGCCATCCAATGAACTTTGAGTGCCCACGGTCCTGCTCGACGGTCGAATGAACCTTCTGGTGGTCCTGTTAGGCCAGGTTCGATAGAAGGGTTTCTGACTGTAGTGTTTCAAGGCACTCCAGATAACCGAGGATCTTCGCGGCGGCAAATGGGAATGCGATGGACAGCTGCAATGCTGCCATGCTAAGGTCGGTGTTTTGCAACGGAAAATTGGAGCCCTGAAAGCCTCGGGAGGCCTCAGGATCGGCAGATCGTTCAGTTTTAAAGCTAACCTGGCAGACGATCCTTTCGAAACCGGAACACCGTCCATCGACTTCGTCTCGTCGCGTCTAGTCGGATGTAGCATCGCAACATCGCCTTCCGATATTCCCGTATTTCTCTCGGTACACTCCGAAACGGGTACATCCTCCAGTCCCATTCCGCTGATTTCACCGACTTCGCTCAGACATGTCTCTGGTTCTTTCATCCCACAGGTTTCCATCGACTCTTCCAACGGAACGTCGCTCTGGCCTACCGTTTCGAGCGACTTGGACGTCTCGGAATCCCAAAAGATGATCTGCGTAGACTTGTCCAGGGATTTAAGATCCTCCGGGTCCGTACGGTCCAATTGTTCGGGTCGACTGATCGCGCCAGTATGCGTGGATCAGGAGGACGAGTTGGCCTCTATCGTGGAACTGGTCGAAGCATCGTCGTCCAAGGAGCTCTGCGTGGCTACGGTAACTTTGTTCCTATCGTTCCCACTAGGCAACTGCGGATCAACGAGAGTTTGACGGGGATGGCGTCTCTTGTAGGGCTCCCAATCCCCAGGACCCCGGCGTCAGTGCGTCGCTATTACGTCCGGTGCGCTTTTTGTGCTTTCTATACTGAAAGGTCGCCTCTGATCCACCTCTATCACCGCCTCTGCTCTGTACCTAGGGTCCGCTGTTGTTTGCTGAGGGCACTTCGGCGTGCCGGAGTGTTGCGTGCTCGACGTGTTGCTAGACCCGTGTCCAGACCCGTAGATGGAACTGCCGTACCTCTCTCCTGAGCCAATCGTTCCTTGCCTCGCTAATTTCGGAGACTGACGATAGGCGCTGTTTTCTCTGCTCGGTTTCGGGCTTTGAAACCTCTGGTACGACGGATAATCCGGTGGTTCTGAGTAAGTGGGACCTTGATGCGCAGGTAATGGATAACCCGATTCGTGAGTCGACCAGCCCGGGGGTGCTGGGATTGGGTTGTGTTTTGGACAAACACCCATACTACCGTCTCGACCTCTCGATGCCGGGCTACAACCCGAGCATTGAGAGCTTGCTTGCTGGGAGGTGTGCTCGGAAGACTGGTGTGCGCTGTGCTGGGTGGGCTGAGAGCTTTGACGCGACTGTGGCGGACTTTGATGGTGATGAAGATGATGATGACGATGATGGTGAAGATGATTGGTCCCATTTTGCGAGCCCGGACTACGAACGCCGAACGTCGTGAACCCTATAGGCATCGCGTTATCCGAGATCCGTGCCTCGAAAAGACTTTCCCGCGTCTGACAAGAGTTGTCGCGCATCTCTGGCTCCTCGTTAGACTCCTGCAGACGTTCCTGCGTCGCGTTACTGACATTGTTACTTTGATGGATGTCGTTCATGTCCCTCGTATTGTAAGCCATCTCCAGTACCAGATCTTTCGCGTAATCTTGCGCTAGCAGGGTAGTGGGTGGTAACAGTTCCTTGCTCGGGATCACTTCCAGGCTCGGTGAGTCGCTTCCTCGGTCCCCGATATCTGTTCTGGAAGACGAGATTGGACAGGGTGTTGCCTTACGACCGAGTTCGTCTAATCGATTTTCTCTAGACTGTCTGATGTGTTCCTGGGCAAGACAAACGAATTCTTTCAATTAGTCGGACAAATATCACAGTGCAAATACCCTAACGAACGTTCTCAATGATCGACCTTTGCTAATGCTCTTTTCACTGTTTACAAATCGTTGTCTAAACGTTCGTCTATTCGATATATTTGCCATGAAATCGCGAGGACAAATATTACGTTATTTAATGTAATCGAATATCACGTTACTCTGCGTTTCATAAATCTGCATTCATTCGATCCACTTTAATATAGTATTCATCTACGCGTAATTTATATTACTCCGCGTTTCAGTTTGAAGGAGCTTTGTAAATGACATAACGGTTGTTAACGTTAACCGAATATAGCGTTAAATTTACCGTACCTCGTTTTTGATACATAGGAATAAAATTGAAAGAGATTACCGTGCGTTATATTACACAATAGCTTCGAGCGCACTTCATTTTTGCATTTCCTGAAATGAAGTGTTGTTATTTCGAAAATCGAATTTGCATAGCGTATAATACAGAGGATAACGAAACTGGTTAACAGCATCGACTTACCCGAAATAAAAACGACATTTAGTCCCCGCGTTGCGGTAAATGAAACCGGCAGGGAGTACGAAGCGAAATATTTGATAACTGTAATTTCCGTAGTTGGAACATTAATAACCGAAGTTTTACGAAACGCTGGCAATTTTCATCTACCAGTTACTGCGCTTTTAAGTTGATCGTCCGTTCGAAATTAATTTTCATTCGATCGTTAATGCCTATTAGTGCGTACTTCAGCGTACTCGTGATTCGGCCTTCCCATCTCCCATTCTCCATTTTTCGTGAATGGGCGAAACGAACCGTGCAGTCATTTCGTATTGTGCCGTATCAATCTTTTCCTGCGTTGCGTGAATGTTAGACACGTATGATCGTACGTGACACGATGAAATCGTGGGCCGAATCGAAATCTTTCCATCCTTCGTAGCGTAATTGAAATTCTATGAACGCGCGGCAAGGCGAATCGCGTATAATGCACAAAGAACTTGCAGTTTTTCGAAAGCTACGTACGCCCCGTGTTGTCCGCGATATTGTATACAATCTTCGTGATAAATGTATAACCGAAGATACGTCGATCGTTTTACTTGTCTGGATAGAGCTAACAGTTTGTACCGGCACGTAAAGCCGTCGATTATGTTGAATTATGGATAACGTTAACCGAATTTTTATGTAAAGCATAGATACCCGTCGTATATTGGGTCTGTTGTAAAATAACACCGGCATTTCTAGCATGAAATGACAATCATTTTGCCCGAAACAAGGAACGTTTTATGGGATAATACGTTGACCATTTTGATACCGCATGATAAATGACTCGGCGAACATTGTTTCGCACTGATAAAAGGAGCAGCATCGAAATAATTCAAATTAACCACACTTTCCTAATTGGTTAAATCGCGTTTAAAAATTTGATTCGCTATGTTTCTCTGTATCGACAGCAACAATATTCGCAGTTTAACCTTGCTTCGTGTTATTTGTTACAGATAGACAAGTGTTATCCAGCAAAGCTGTTGACGAAGGGAGATTCACTTACCCGAATGATTCGATGATCCCGGATCAGCTTTCGTACACAGTTGAAGACCAGAGCGAAACTCAAGCCAAACATGATCAGCGAGAAGACGATCAGGATAATGATGATATGCTGGGAGTCGATGAGGCGCGACTTTTTCTTCTGCAAGGCGAAGCATAAGGTAGGAAAACTGTTGATCAGTTTGAGAATATATTATCTTTTAAATAGCGTCGAGCACCAACGAAATCTCCCTGTCTTTTCACAACGCCGTCCATTATGATCGCAACCTCGACCTCTGTTCGCAGAATTTTAAATCACGTCGTAATTATAATATAAAATTTATTTTCAACTTATACAACTCTAATGAAAAGCGTGGGATTTCATTGGAAATTCTATGTTTCAAAATCGGTGATTCATAATGGATTTCAATAGAACGCCATTAACGGGGATGTGGTACAAAGAGATATTAAAAAATCGGGCTATTCATTGGATTTTCTGTATTATCGGATCCGGTATCCAACCGGGATGGGTCGCATAAGCACACATCCGTTTGAATCTCGTCCTCTCCTCTCTGCCTGCTGCCCTCTCGCCGAGTTAGCTAGCCTGCCAAAATTTCCATTCGGCGTGTCACACCTCTTCGCGTGTGTACAGATTAAAATTCAGGCCCGAGATTCTCTTTACCGTGACCACGCGAAAATATACGTAGTCTCCAGCACCGAGGAGCACGATTTCCTTTTCGTTTTCGTCTTATCTTCGTCGCCGTATCTGCGTGCCATCCGAGGTTATAAATGGCGGGAGCGTAACCACTATGGCGAACGCATTTCGCCAGGGATTTAATTTTGAAATCTCTCTTTCTCTCTCTCTCTCTCTCTCTCTCTCTCTCGGTCGGAAACTTTTACGAACGTGTATTTAAAAAAATGGCCGTTATGAATTCGCGGTTACGATTGAAGTACATCGGCTGGTATAATGGAGAGTAGAATACGTCGGATATTCAAAGAGATCAGGCAAAATTAACGGTGTTCGTTTATTCACGAGATCCACGCAAACGATGGAACATGGCGTGGCAATAATGTCCGTTCTGTTGGCAAAGCATCCCGATTTTTCCTTCCGCCATGTAGAGACCGATAAAACGTGGGCATACACGGCTGAGATAAGGGTAATAAGTATAACGCGCGTAATGAGCACATTGTGCGAAGAGTCGGCGCCATTCGCTAAATACACGGAGTTATCGCGTTTCTGCTTTACACCGGGATGTCCGTGCTAGTATTTCCGAACGTTCATCGAATGAGATTTCTCCGCATTAGATCCCAACAGTTCTCAGAGGAACCTTGAACCAATGGCAGCGCGAGCGTGGGAAGGGTGAAACGAAGGGATGGCCAAGGGGAGGACGAGGAGCTCTGGTTGAGGGGTTGAAAATGCCTCTTTCTGCTTCCGTAAGCCCGGAAGGTTTATTGTTATGCTTATATGGGCGAGCACACTCCAACGGACGTTTTACGTGTTTGTGATAGTCCGTGTAAAAATACATTTCGAACGGCTACTGCATTCGCGACGAGAGACACTTTTGATGCTTCCCTCTGCTATCGAGCTGGGATTTATTCCGGCCTGCAAGCGGAACCCCGATATTTTCGATCGTATCGATATTTATTCGCCTCCATGCTGTTGCACGTTATGTCTCGTATAACGAAGATTTCCTTTTGACCAACGTTCTCGTTAATCCGTACCAAATTCGATTCCTTCCCTTACCTTTCCCGGCATCCCGATATTATCGCGTTAGCTACAATAACTCGTCGAGAGTTCTGCTTCTATCCTGACAAGGATTAATTTTCTTTTTTCTCCTCAGCTTATTTTCCGTCTGTCGAAACCTTTCACCGAAATTAACCCTTTGCACTCGACAAAGAAGAGCAGAAATTCAAAGATTCCGTACTAAAAAACTGACGATACTTTTTCGAGCAGTAAATAAAAGATTGTACAATAATAGAATTGTAGAATTATCTGACTTCGATACTTCGCACACTGTTACATTCCATTAAATTTGATATATTAATTAATATCGATCTTGCAAATTTTATGAAACGGTGACTGAAGCTCACCACTCGAGTGCAAAGGGTTAATACTCCGACTTGAAACGGTTTCCCTGTTCGGCCGAAATTTTTCCCCAAATCGATACCTCCGATTTCCCATCGCTCGGACGCTATTTACATAACATGCCCAACTTTCAAGAAAACCACGCGGTAAGAGAACATCAAACTGTCTGTCGAACGTGTCCGCTAGACGTAAAACCTTTTCCCTTCCGTTGCCTTCTTTCCCTTTGCGGTTGCGTTCGAATCAGTGGTAATCCATGGAACACGAACCTTTCGGACGCAGAAAATATTTGCTTTCCGTCGCATCAGCCTCGCGGCAACCGATACCGGTGATCTTCCCTGTCGCTGCCAGATAATCGCGCGAGTATCTGAAAATCCTGTGATACCGCGGTATCGTTTTGTAATCCATCGGAAATTTATACCGAAACTGACGTGGCCGATCAAACAACGTCGCGTCGGACCCATTCGTCTCTTCGTTAAATTTATTCGCTTATGAAAAATGGCGCGTTACGCGGCATTTAGTGTCCCCTCGTAGATAGCCGTAATTTTTATCGCTGTCATAATTTTCGACGTCGTAACGAGCAGCGTCCGCGTGGACAAAGAAAAATCCCCCGTCGCACGCATTACCGTGGTAACTTTATCGGGGGCGTCTTGTCGTAAACGAGAATCCTCGCTGGCTCTGCGTAGGTTCGTCTGTTCCTCGACCCGGATCACTGCGGCGACAGATTCGCGCCGTGTCGCGCGTCGGAATTAATGATAGTCCGGCGAGGATCTGCTTCTTTCGCTCGGCAAAAGAAATAATTAGTCGCAGGGCAAAAACGTTGAAGAACTTCATTAAAGTAACGAGTATATGGCGAGGATTCCGTTATGTTCACGACTCCCGATTTATTCCACGGCGGAAGATGAAGAGAGAAACGGCGGCGCAGAATAGGACGGGTCGAACCGATAATTAAAGAACATTCTTGCGGCGGTAATTATTATGGAATCTCGACGCTCTGTGTGACGGCGGAATCGATATCTTTACAAGAAGAGCCTCGGGGACGGTGGATATAAATGAAGACGCGAGCTAGTCGATCGGGAAAGAATCAAATGCGACTTATTTCATTCGAGATGGTGCAATTGAATCGCGAAGATTGATACTCGAACGGGAAGCTAATCTCAGCTCGAATATCGAATCGTCGTTCCATCGAGGCTGCTTCTTAACTCTAGGCAACCGTGCAAAATTTCATTCTGCCTGGGGCACGGTTTGACCCTTTGGCCTACAATCACGTGTGGGACTCGTGGTCAGGTTTTCGAGCCAAAACTGACTATCACGGGCCTGGCTCGTGGTACGTCGACCGGGCCAAGTGTGAACACCACGTGTCAGGCCCGTGCTTTGTTGATGTGCCCCACGTAAGTCGCGTACGATTGGCACAACTCGATAGATTTGGCAGTTCTGTTTACGTTTTGGGATCACGCTGTTGAATCTTAAATCGTGGGGTCAGGGGTTAATCGTTGGAGTGCCATGGATATTTGCCGTGCCCCAAGGAGCGCTTTTACGCTTGTTTTCTGCTCATGTGCGATAAGTTGTAATTCTTTCGATTCAGCGATGTTCTGACATCCTTCCGAGTCAGTCCTATAAGTAGTCATATCCGTTGTTTATAACAATAAAAAGGTGTACATCTGCACTTAAGTGTAATATTACTCCAATTTTATTTTAATTTACCTAAAACGGAACGGCAGGCGTAAAGTTCGATAGAAACCGAGCGTGTCGCGATTGTAGGGGCCTGACAGCCTAGAGCGTTGACACTTTTTAGCGAAACAGAAGGAGCGTAAAATTACTGTTTGGCATTCAAGCGGTTAATAACGAGGCGAAGGACATCTCGCGAGACGAGGCTTTGACCGGGTACCCTCATGGGGGATGCTCGTGTTTTCTTCTTTTTCCTGGCGTCTGCTTCCCATTAGTATTTTCCGGTAAGCGCTAAACGGTGTAAGCTGTGTAGGAATGCACTTTCCATTAGAGGGAAATGAAATTGGATAGGATGGCTACTATGGTGGCACCGCGATTTCGTTGCGCATTCTGTCCGTGCCGTCAATTTCGTGGCCACGCTTCCATGCTAACGGTACCTCGCTATCGCGTCGTATAATCTCGTCGTGCTTTATTGCAATCGTGAGACACGGCCAGGTAGATAGAGGAAAGCTCCGGGACAGGAATAAGGGAAGCAATGAACGGCAACAGAAAGGTCGTCGGATATGACATCCAGCTAGTTCGTAAACAGAGACGATCTTTCATCCCCTAGCCAGAGAGAGTCGCTACCCTCAACCGGACGTATAAATTTTTTATTAATTCCGCGCGTCGCGTCGGTCACACTGCTTAAGTAATACTCTTCCAAAGGATAGTTCAAATACTGGCGCGCTTTTTAGGTGTCCACGGGAATTCCGAACGATCTACTCCGCTCCGAGTTTCCCTAAAGTCTTGCTGATCCGAGTTTAACTTTTCACCTTTTCCGCGGACCGACTCGTGTCACGTCCACCCGCAGTTTCGATATTCTTTTACACTCGTCTGAGAAATATCATAGCCTGGAGTTCTTGCCGGGTAAGTTGCCCTGTAAAAGATATCGCGATGGTTCGCGTAATTCTCCGCGTACCCTCTGAAAGATTAAACAAGCTGCTCGTATGCGAAACTGTGAGAGCTAGGATCATTTTTTACGCTGCTCCGTCACGCTCTGGCTTACTGTCAGATGGTCGGAATACGTTGGAGAAGGAGCACTGGATGGGACACGATCGTAAAGTCGATTTCCCGCGACAGTCGAGATGAATTCGCGCGGAACGTACTCGTTGGAAAGTCGATAGAGTTGTCGATACGGTTATGGACCATTCTTGCGCGATACGGCGAGTCGTACAGCTCTATGCTTGATCTTGCCGGATCTAGAAATCTCGGGACACGCGTTATTAAATATTTCGCAGAATCGCTGAACGTTGCTGGCATTTTCCAGGCGAACTGCTAAGAGAAAAGTAACATCGAAAACGATCGTGGCATTAAATGCATTTGCATCGCGAATGCGAGTCGCGCATAGAGTATAAAAAATGGCGCTAGAATGCAGGTTGCGTGTATCACGGGTACACAGGGAGATAGGGGAAAAGAGAAAAAAAACGAAGAGAGAGAAAGAGAGAAAGAGAGAGAGAGAGTGAGCAAGGGAGTTGTTTATATCGTGGCTTTTCACGCTCGTCAAGTTTCCGGGAAAATAGAAATGGATTCCCGGGACGTTATTCGTGCGTTGCAGTGAAATAGAAGGAAAAGCTTTGTGCACGGCGCGTTCTCGATAAATCGTACCAGCACAAAGGAATCCACACGAATGACCATCTTTCAAGGGGATAACCTTTTTAGCGTGGCCCGTCGCCTAGGGACAAGAAGTTCACGATCTTACGGATGAATATTACGGAGCAAGTGACCTCAAAGAAAAGCCCGTTTTTGCCGCTTAAATGGGAGCTTCCTTTTAACCTTACCTGTCGGGGAATCTGCTGGACCGGGACTCTATTCGCGACTGGCTCTCTTAATCTCAACTTTTCACTTCGAAGAAAAGAAGGGTCTCGTTTCACGACCGTCGTCCCACGACTACCATCTTTCCCCGATTCGACGATAACGAGCCGTTCGATCCTCGATCGCGTTTCTTTCGACCCGGCCAATGGCCACGAAATCGAGAGTTTGTCGATCGACCGTGTCGTTCGTCCGATCAACACCGTCCACCCGTTTTCTAGTGGAAATTAGGAATCGGGACGTTAACCGGATGGTCGAAGGCGTCGCGATCGTCGAGTCGTTGGCATGGTCGAAACAGGATCGAGTCCACGTCTCTCGATTAAGCGCGCACTCGCGTGAACTCGCGTGAACTCGCGTGAACTCGCGCGTACTCGCGAGTACGGTGAAAAAGGGTCGGGCGTGGGAATAAGGACGCAATCGAACGATAGCATATCGCCGGCATTATTTGCCATTAGATTAATATCCCGTCGGTGCCACAACGCCGTCGGCCGAGAGAGGTATGGCTGTGCTGGTAGTTTGCCAAAAGCGCATACTATTTTGCACCCCCGGAACCGGAAACATCCGCTGTTAGCGGAGCAGCGACGTATTCGAATATCGCGAGAGCACGGTCACGGTGGATGCGAGTCAGAGGTCAGGAAAACGGAACGACCGACTTGGGCCGGCAAGAGCAGCCTTGAATAAATTAATTAACCACCGAGAGACAGACAGAGCGCGGTCAGAGAGGCAAGGGACAGGGAGACGGGATATTAAGTCTTTGTTGGGGGTCGTATACACCGGATTGCCAGAGTTTATTACAAAGAAGCGGCAATCCGGGTGAACCGACTCGAGAATTCCCGGAATATTAACGAGCACGTGGACATCTCTGCGATGCCGCCAAGTTTAATTGCGAAGCGATTCTTCGGATACGTTGGGAACGATAATTGCCATCGGCTAAATGGCTGGTGCTTCGGATTCACGTTTCAGGGCTGTGTTACGCCTCGATGAGAAGGCGATGCGATGGCACACGGCTTATTAACGTGCGTGAGATATCGACGTATAAGCTAAATATAGGCAGGGCGGTGCCTTTGGGCCGGAGTGCTGAACTTCCCTCGAATAAATTAATTAGCCCTCTGGAACAGACGGAGGCAGGGCGAAAGGGTGGAAAGCGATTAAGTCTAGACGACACGCCATTCTTGCGGTATCGCGTATCACGCGTGCCTGGTTGGCGCTAAGAAACCGGGGAACCGAATAATCCCGGCAAGGAAACGATGACATTCCGAGGAGAAACGTGAAAGGACCCCTACCGAGCTCTGTCACGTCGCTCACCAGATACCACCATGGTCGTCATTCGTCTCGCTTTGATAAGACGTTACGTACGCGTGCATGTAAGGCCAAGGCACTTTCCTTCTTGCGCTGAACGAGCACTGCTGCGACCCTAGCTCCAAGTAGCCTAGCTTACAGCGACACAATGGGAGCGCTTCCGAATGGGTCTGCTAGTCGCAATGGTTATAATGACAGAGGAAGAGATCTTATTAAAGTCCCGCTTCGCCGTCTCTTCGCTACCGTTCCTCAAAGTTCCTCGAGATCTTGCGAGTTCTCTATTTTACGTGGACGCGCGCGTAAAACAAAACTGCGTCCAACTTTTCTACGATGGCTCGCCCCCGTCGGGCTGATAACGCGGAAAGCGTTCGCCGTGTCCGCATAAACGATGTCGCGAAGACAAAGCGGCAGGCGAGACGCAAAGATGGCGCTGAGGGTAGGTCTTCTGCGCTTCTGCGAGGCAGAAATGATTTAGGTCCGAGCATCGGGAAATATTTAACGCCCCCGGTAGGATTACCGTTGAATTTACTCTCGATATAACGTTTGCACACTCACGTTGCAAGATTGATCTTCTTCGTCCCATCGGAAACGGCAATTAACCTTCCCGTTGCACTGCAATTCCGCGGCGATGCACGTTGCGTCCTCGCAGTAGTACTCGTTATCGAGGCAGGCTGTAAACAGATCGACGAAAGTGTAACGACGTTATGCATCCGAATTATGCTTAAGCCCCTCGCGCACGCCCGTTATGTACGTTAATACGGCAGATTTAGCACGATAATTCTTTCACACCGCCGTTAATCGCGCCGTGACGTTAAAGGAGCACCAAAATGGCCGCGCGACATCGGTTAGAGACGGTTAAAAAGCGAGTTGAACGCGGCCCGCGACGAAACGACGTTAACTTCTATACAACGTACGTCGAGCACTTCTTAATCCATTGTTCTTGCGATCTCGCGTGCACGACGGAGCCAACCGGCGGCGTACAAGAAAATTTTCATTTAAAATCTTATCGTACGAGAGATAGGGGAATAAGTGAATTTCGCTCGAGTCCGCGGACAAGTCGTTCGTAAGATATTAGTTCTGCGGGGGTGGCAGGTGTAGAGAGCCCAGGATTCTTCTCTTGTGTCAGATAGAACCGGAGAATTTCGTACGTGTAACTGCACCGCTGCGGCTTACTCCATTTGCCATTCAGCCCACTCTACCGCCGTTAATTTACCGTCTCGGATCTCTTTCCCGACTGATTATTCCCCGTGAATATCAACCGGTTAAGTCGATTATTCGTTTCCATCGATATCGTTGCAATTATCGGGCCAGGCCCCCTCCGATCGTCCGGGAGTCGTTGATCGGTGCGTCGCTTTAACCGCGAATCGTTCCGCGCGCGATCGTTTTCTTTGACTTTTGAAATAGTACCTTGCGAATAATAGAGGCGAAACGCATTGTGCCCGCGAATGCGGAGCTTTTTTCGTGCCAGCCGGTTTTATCTCCGATGCATCGTTCAATGGAATTTTAACGATATTTCGTGGAATTCCGCGATTCGAGCTGCGCGGGAAATTTAATATTTCGTTCCACCAGTGGCAAAAGAATTATTCCAGGCATGCCGCGGGGGAAACGCGTCTGGCCAGATGAGGTCGATCGCAAGAAACTTTTCATCCCTCGGCATTGGCTTTTCCGCAACGAAATCGCGTTCGCGATCGGCCGCCATTGACATCCTCGTTTTCCAATTTACCGCGTTCCCCCTGTATTATCGATCCTTCGTTTATTATCACCGGCCATTTACGTAACCGACGCGTTGCACGAACCGCCAGTTGCGAGTCACTTGGGCTAATGAACTGTTCGAGCTGTTAAATAACTCCTGATCCGCGAACGCGCATCAACAGACGCGTAACGACCTTTCGTTCCCTCCAACGTAACCGGTCAGGATAATCGTCTAATTGTTCTTCCGTTTCTTCTTCCCCTTTATGCGTCGCTTGAATGCTTTCGCTACAAAACACGCGTGGCTTCGTTAATTTACGAATTTCCATTACGCCGTATCTCTGTACTCCCGGGCAACGCGTTGCCGACGAACGAGGCACGCCGGTGTTAAATTTAATGAAACTTAACGTCGAAATTACCCGCGTGTCGTGGAACAAAGACCTTCGCGATACCGGCGTAGCGTGTCATCTAATGGAAATTAAACTTTCTTGTTCACGACGCGCGTAAAAGACCGGCCAATTACTAGTCCCTGCCCTATTATCAACCAACGGATCGTTGAAAAATATAATTGGGATATCCCCTTTTGTCTCCTTGTAACGCGCTCGTCGCGTTTCATAAGTCACCGTGATATCCCTGAATTCGTTTCGTGCTAATTAACGAGTCACTTTGTCCGGCGAATCGATATTTGTACACCCCGGAACAGACGTACGAACTTTGCGCACCGCGTTCGAAAAAGTACCACGTCGATATTCGCCATACGATAACGATAATACGGTACGCCGTTACGCGTCGAAAGCTGTTCCATGCGCGCGTACACGCGTCCCATGCGCTGCAAATCGAGCCGAAACTACCTCATCGGCAGCGCGATTAAATAAAAGTTTCGCAAGTGGCGATAAAAATCTGGTTAATTCGAAATTCGCCAATGAGTTTATCCCGCGGTACCGCGATTCGTTCGAGCAAGTGTAAAATTTTCGCGAGATATTCGCCGATTACCGGTATCGAGCCGGTATGCAGCCGGCACGTAGAATTGGAACGCGAACAATGGTAACGACGCGATAACGTTGCAGCCGCGAGGATACGAGATTCTTCGCGCCGATCCGAAACGGTAGCCGTGTGCTCGATGAAATAATATCACCGGGCGATATCGCGACGAGACGAGGTGCTATAGCTGAAAACGGTGAACAATTAATCGAGGATGTTTGTGAACTCACGCTTGTCTCCCGGATCCCTGTCCCTGAGCGCTGTCATCACGGCCTCGAAGCTGCTGTTCAACGCTTTAGGCTCCGCGTAAAACCTGACAAAGGCGGTATTGGTCCCGATGAGGACGGTGTCGGCGATGCTGCCGCAGAAATTCTTCTCTCTCGAGGACATGTCAGTGCGTTCTTTGAATATGTCCACGAAGTTGGCGTCGCACTCGTTTGGTCGTTGCAGTTTAAAGGGATCGGAGAACGTCAGCTGAATCTGAAAGTTGTACGTGTTCCAGCGATAAAGGCCTCGGCCCTTTCTTCCTCCCTGGTTCCCTCTCTGTCCCTAGCTCTATCCAGACGATGAACTCAAAGGATTTGCGCCAATTAGGCGGTACATTTTATTAGGCGGAGAGAACGCCTCTATTACTGACATTTTTGTGCCAGACGTGATTTCGTTTGACCAAAAAGAACCAGGTAGCTTGGCGTAGGGATGAGGCAGGGATCAAAGGCAGTCTGACAAAGGGATTCGTCATCAAGTATTTCGGACGGTCCCATTCAAAATATACGACGCGCGGTGCATTTCCAGTTACGTTGTTTTCTTCCTCTTTCTTTTCGTCGTTTTTCTTTTTCCTTTTTTTCTTTTTTTTTTCTTTTTTTTTTTCTTTTGTTTCGCAATTAACTGCATCGAGCAATATCGAGGAGCGAAATGTTTCGAGAATTTGGAGAGGAATTCGGCGATGAAATTAGCATGGCGGTGGAAAAGGGAAATTTTACCTTCCATCCTTCTTTGACCGTGATGTTCCACATGCAGTCCAGAGGGATGCCCTCCTTCTCGGACAGAGACTTCCTGTCTGCCACGTCGTTGCTGCTGATGACCGCCTCGACGCCGCTCACGTAATGCACGCACGGCTCGGGTTCCGGTGGCACTCCCGCTGTAAATCACACCTATTACAGTATTACACTTTCCTCGGGACGACTGTCAGCTGCTTGTTTGCCCGACTAATTCGCGTTTCATTTCCCGCGGATAATGCGACTCGCTCGTTTACGAGCTCGAGCTTCGACGAGTGGCCGTCGGGGGCCAATGGAGAACGCGTTCACCGCGGACCGAGTAACGTTCGCTGGGCGAAAAATGGGATGAAAGGGTGGGTAGAAAAGAGAGAAAAGAAGAGGAGAAACGCCGAGAGTGGAAAACAACGAAACGTCTCCGGCTATTGTTCGCGGAAGAATTAATTTCCCGTTTCGAATTGGCATTTATAAAATTCGCGAACGGTGTGGCGCACAACGAAGGAGAAAAAATTAATCAAACGCGCGGGTGAGATTCTCCCTCTCGGCATCTGATTAATTTTCTCTCTCGTCGGTGCTTGAATTTGAGCGATCGTTACCGTCGTAGCGGCGTTTTAATGTTTGTCCCTCGTTAAGACTGAATCGCGAGAGCCTGGAAAGCCCGGCGTTTTGGAGCGTATTAAGAGCAACCGAATACTCAAACGACATTCATCGCGGCGGATGTGTGCAAATGCACGGAAATAATGAGCTGTATGAGACGCGCGCGTATATCGATGTCGGCTTTCTGGTAATCTAGCCTGTTGGAGCGCACTTGGAAACAGGATGTACTCGGCGAAAGGGAGATCGCGATACGTGCCCCCGCCTTGCATTTTATCAACATTATCGCGTGATCGATACACGGAACGAGGCGAAAGTGGGAATAATTCGAGCATACGTATCCCGTTACGCGAAAATGTTTCCCTTCGATTTCCAATGGGAAATTCCACCGTGCCATAATTCTGTACGAATCTCGGGAACAATAACTAAATAATGACGGTGTTTCGACACGGTAACGGGAATTACATCGAAATTATTTTTAGCCAGCATCGCGTTTTCCGCCCGAGTCGGCGGATGTGCGATTTACTACCGGTCAAGATAAAAAAAATTTTCCGCACAGGTCCAGTTGGATCGGGAAACCCGTTGTATTGGAAGCCGCCCAACGCGTTCCACGATGTCGTCGGGGCTAATGTCCGAGCGAGTATTCTAATCCGAGAGCCGCCAGTCGCCATTCGCGTTTGTTTTTAATGAATGAACCACGATTTTTCCCGCGAGATAAATTTCTCCCAACTTCTCTTTTCCGGAATTTTTCGGAAGGATGAAATTCATCGACGCGAAATAACTCGGCAATATTTTGCCCCTGGAAATATCCCGATGAAAGGGTTTATTTTACGCTCCGCTTTTCCCTATGTCTCGGCAATCGTGGCGCCCGCTGTATCCTACAAATTGACACGGCGAAATGACAATTTGTTTTTACCCAACGAACGTATCGAGTTGACGTATCGGACCAGCTTGCCGGGCGGAGAAATTTTCTTCGAGGAGAAGAACAATGTTCGCGACAGGTCGAAAATTTCAGTTCGAAAGTCGAGCAGCAGTCGACGGAAGCTGCGAGGACAGCTACCGTTGTATCCGCCATAAACCCGGTCCTTGTAGAACATTAACGAGGACCACGATCGTTATTCTTTCCACGAAGTCTGTCGAATTTCTGTCTCCACCACGAATTCGCCGTCTCGCGAACAGATGTTCCCCAACCTATTTTCTCGAACGCGAATCCTAGTTAACTTTTAATATAAAACTTGGAGAACTCGCGTTCTCCGCGATCCAGAAACGGGGGACCTTGCATTCCAGTTCCTACTAAATCAAACAATCCGAGAACCAAACTCGCGCGAGTAGCTGCTCTCGAAATAAGCGAAATTTAAACGTCGGATCTATTTTCATCGATTCAAGCATGATTCGCGTCCTCGTCGTCGCGAAACGATCCACGTCGCCAGATCGACGTTTCTCGTCGATCCGTTCGTGTCTGTCGAGTAATCTCGACGCGGTTGTAGGCGTAGGTTCTCGAACGAAGCAAGGAAAGAGGACGGGGTCCGTTGGCGGGAGGAAAATCTCGAGCACCGTGACGGACGAGTAGGAGGATCGTAATACCATATACTTACGATAAGTCGGTCTTGGTATCATACTCCAGATGGCCTTGAATCCCTTGTCCTCGATGCTATCGTCACTGTGGAATCGCAGCCAGAGATATCTCGTCTTCGACGTGATCTCAGGGGGGAACTTCGTGCCGCAGAAGTTGCCGAGGAGATTGGAGTAGCCGTGCTGGCCGTCACGTACCTCGAGGTAATCGAAACGGCAGTCGGGACTCTCCTCGAGCTTGAACTCGTCTCGAAAGTCGAGCCTCAGCAGCATGCCTTCCTTGGCTGAAATGAGACACGAAGAAAGTCGTGGCTGGAAACCGTGGGAACGCGAAAAAGACGTTCAACGCGAATGATTTTTGCGTTCGTTAAAGGGCTGACTTTCCCCGCTTTTGTCCCCGTCGACGCTTCATCGAGACTTGGACGTTGGTACCGGGAAGTATTATTTTTAGTCGACTCTTGGAGGAGAAACCCTGACCCGAAAGCGAGGCAATATCACGCGCGCGTTGTTGGAATTCCACGCGAATCCGACTGATTGGTCGCTTACGCGATAAATATTCTAACGTCGTTAGCGTGGAAAGTCGCTCTGGCAACTGGCCAGGCTATCCGTCGTAGTCGCCATGCTATTTTTTCAGTTCACCTTGCAGAACGTGCTTTTTGTCCAGCGACAAGAAGCGAATCGTTTATCGATCAACGCGAATCCACCGACGTTTCTTCCGCGTTCCGCGATTTATTCGACCCGCGGCTGATTGTAAAAACGTCCCACGTTTTCCGCGATAAACTCGAGATAAATACGAGCGGATGTTTGGTTACGCGCGGCACAACCTTCGGAGCGTATGGCGACGCGCTCGACCGCGTTCTTTGCACCAAAATGGCGGTCGTACGTAAATCCCAGTCGATTCGATTCGTAATGAAGCCGTTGGGATGCAAACGCGTCTCCGTTTTCCTCGCACGTACCAAGATTATCCGGGAATTATTTACCGTGAATCGATCGTTGGAATTCACTTTGTCTGTCCCGCGATGCGCCGGGTTCCATGGCTTTTGGCTTTTGCCAACGCGAACGCAGTTTTCGCGTCTGGGCAAATGGACCGAACCGCGGGGAGCACGCTATCGTTCCCTCGAATAATTAGATCGCTGCCGGCGGCATTGCTCTTAAGTATAATTATTTCAACCTTACTGCAACGAAGATTCCCACGTTGAAACGGGATACACGCAGCGAATATACACACGGGTAGACGAAATTGTTGCTACATTCCAAACGGTTCGACGAATGTTACGTTTCATACCGTAACTCTGCGGAGATCGGCGAAACGGGGAAATAAAAGTGCATCGCGACTAGGGGAAGGGTAGATACGCGGCTCACGGTTCGCTCGTAAATATTTGGTATTTGCGAATAAAATATCTCGTTCGTATTGCCATTTGTGCACCGCGAAAAAATTTATACCCGACCGAGCGCGATATCGGGAAAATTATTGACCGAAAATTACATCGTCGTTGTAGAGGCCGCGTGTTCGTTCTTCGGCGTTTACCCTCGATTAAGCGCTACACGAAGAAATATAGATCGTCTATTTTCGCCACGATTAAAAGCGCGCCAACCATTTCCCGCGTCTGCATTTTCAACCGTCTCGGCGTGGATACGTAGGACTGTCGCGACGCGCGCGATAAATCCTTCGGAGATAAGATACCATCTCGAGGGTTATTAGCGGATTTCTTGTCTCGGACTCGCGCAAGAACGCTGCGACCACGTATCGTTGCTCGTTCGGGTATTTATGTCACGCTATGAATGAAACTCCGCTCGGCGAGTCACACAGCGAGTCTCGTTTTCCTTCGAAGGACGTGCGAATATTTCCTGGACTCGGCGATCGCGCGAGTTGGCCGCGACCTGTGGCACCTTTATCGCAAATCGCCCTCCGTCATTACGGCGTGATTGTCGTCTGAATCGAAAACGCGATCGTACGTGCCGGGAAAATGTCGCGACTCGGGCATCGAACGAGCAACGTTCCTTGGCTCTTATTCGAACGGCGAGGCGCGAGAAGCTCGGAGCCCACGATCGGTGAAACCGCGTTCTTCGGGGCGAAGAAAGAAGGAAGCGATAAAAAGCGACGCAGGGGAAAACAGGGGGGAAAAGGCGAGGAGAAAGGTCTGCGTCGCGACTATTTTCTCCGAGAGGGAGGAAACTCTAAAGCGGCGGCAATCTCACCCCAACCACTGTCCGCTTTCGCATGGAAATACCGGTATTCCAGTCGCGGAACGGTCGATCGCATTTTTCACCGGATCCAAAGGCTCTTCCTCCCCCACTTTCACGCTTCATTATCCCCCGATTGTGTCACCTTCCGTTCGCTGCTTGTAATCATCGCGGAAATTAAGGGCCATTCTCAAAAGGGTCGCGCAATCCGCCGCCATTATACGCCGTTTACACGAGTTATTTATAAACTCGCCTGTTCCTCCTCGTAATTTCTCCTCCGTGCTAGAGTTTCGCTTTGCTTCGTGCTTACCACCTGTAACGACGCCGTCGCGGAAGATACCGCGAATTTCTGCTCGAAGATTCCGCTCGCGCGAGATTACCCGCCGTCGAGCAACAAACGTACCGAGAAACCGCGGATCGAGAAATTTCTGCGGGGGGGAGCGTTATATCTATCCCGAGTTCGAGCTTTCGTCGTTGTCGATGTCTAACGCCAACTTTCGCGACGTCGCAGCCACCGTGAACACAGCTTACGCAAGGAGCGAACGGCTTCCGTCATCGTCGAACTTCGTGAAACTCAAGGAACGCGCGAGAACGCCGACACCCGTGCAACATCGGTGTGCATCATTGTGCCGATGAAATCCTACGAGACTCGTCTGACTCGGAATCCACTGTCATTTTCCGCCGACTACCGGCTTTCCTGCTTCTCGTCTTCCGTAACGACCACCGTTCCCCTTAATAAGCCCGTCGAATTTTTCACGCCTTCAAATCTGCCACTCTCGTGTTTCGCGTGTTCCGTGGACAAAGCAATTCGCGAAAGTTGCGCGGGCCCGCGTTCTCGCGTGCCTCCTCGATCGTTATTCCTCGAAGGTTGACATTTCGGGGGTGATTTCTAAATGATCGTGATCAGGATTCGATTTCGCGATAGGAATCGCCGAGATTTATCGCTAATTATTGGCCACGAATTTTATTCATAATAGATGACACCGGGAGATATGGGTACAGACACGGAGAACGTTCTCCAGGGGTGATTGCTTCGAAGAAATATCGCAGTTAACGTGATTGGCTTCTGAGTACTCCAAATTTCGTCGTTGATTCTTCGACTAATTTCATGCGAATTATCGTTTGTAATTAACGTAGGGGATCAAGGTCGGAGATGGTTTCAACGAAGTACTGAAGCGAAGTCGCTACTACTAAATCTCTGACTACACTTTGCGGGGGGTCCTCCCCCACGGTTGTTGAAGTTAATTGGTCGCAGGTGTCCTCGTTGTAGCGGTGGTGCTCAAAGGGATGATAGGAAAAGGAAGGAATGCGTTAGCTGGGCCTCCTAGTGGACTCATCGGTGAGGCTACCTACCAGGCCCTGTCTTAGACGGGGATGCTATTGGAAAGCTTGGAAATTGCATATATGGGAGGATTTTTTCTCGAACCTCCTTCTTAGTAGGAACCAGCTATTGACAAGGGTGAGACGATGCTGCCAGAACTTTATTCCGCGACTGTAACCGACTAACGAAGTCTTGACTTTCGACTATACAACTGACAACTCGACAACTCTTCCAGAATTCTAACTGTGTCTCACTGACTGTGAAACTATCCGTAACTGTAACTCCGGCTAACTGACTTACGACTAATTCTATAACTTGCTAAGTAGAACGTACAATAGAAAGTAAACACCGGGTCACGAATTGCTCAGCATTTAGGATTTGGCTACCAAAAGACTCTTTATGGTCTTTTAGTGCTTAATTCTAAGTCTACGTCCTAAAAATAATATATTAGTAACTTCCATCTCGAATTCTCGATACCGAGAGCCGGTAATCGACAGAGATTTCGAAATTCGCAGTCAGTCGCGCAAAAATTGGCAAAGTTGGGCTTCCCGTTCAACGCGTAAGAGGTTTCTCGGCCCAACGAGGGCTGGGAGATACTCGTATGCTGGGAATTAATCTCGGCGAGCGTTCCATAAAGGGCAACAACGCGTTTACTCGATAAGAGTTTCCATAAAGAGAGAAATAAAGGAACCTACATAGGAGACTTTTACTGGGTATCCAGAACCCTTGGTTCCTCGTAATAACGATCAGCATCCCCCACAGGCGGGTCATCGAATTTTCCATAGAGATTCGTCGGATGGGGGTGTGTGCCTTGCCCGGTTCCCGGAAGCTGAGCGACCTAGATGCCCCCAGTGCCGGGAGCTCCGGGAAAACGCGGTAATTTTCCCCTTCGTTCGAATCGGACATTTATTTCTTAGAACCGCGTTTCGTTGGATAATATTTTCAAACTTCTCCCATGGCACGGGAAAAACACGTATCGTGTTGCATACGGTGGTTGGACGAAACGATGGCAAATGAGATGTTTGCTAAGTCGATCCGTTAGCGGAATGTGTCGGATTTTTTGCGCAACGGGAAAAGTGAAAAATATCGACATTCGATTTTACGTGCCTCGAGTATTATGTCAACTTTCGAGCGTAATCGATATTATTTCGTGGAAACGCAATTTTTCGTGCGAATTTTCGAATTCCTATCGCGTTGACCGAGTGCTGTCCGAATCGTTTGACGGTATATATACGTGTATATATATGTATATTTGAAAACAGTCGCTGATTGGATTCAACGTTAATTGCGTGCACCGCTGACGACAAAACGCGTTCTCTTTACTCTCGAATCCGCGGCGATGAAAAAGCCTGTTCGCTCGAAATAGCAAATTATATTACGCGAAAATAACGTCCGTTTTAATCCCCGGAGCAGCAACGTCGTTGATTTTACAAGTTCCCGACGCCGCCCATTCCTCCGCTTCCGACTTAATTATTTCCCCGACTTTTACCCCGCCGTTTATTCCAATTCGATTTCAATCGACGCGGACGGGAACAATTTCTGTACTCGAAGCGACGAAATTATGCCGCCTAATGGCGGATGTAAATAAATTTCCACTCGACGTTCCGTGTTCATCGCGCGGCAAACGAGCAAAGTTTATCGCGATTTTATTTCAATTTTCGTCCGGAATAAGCGGAAAAATAAGGGAACAACGGCGAAGTCTTCGCGGAACTCGAGTTTCCTTTTTCCTACGCTTAAATCCCTCGAAAACGTTTCGTAACCCGGCATTGTAGCTTGTCT